TGGATCATCTTCGGGGAGAGAGAGACACGAAGTGAGGATAAGAGGATCGATTGCAAAAATGACCAAAAGCCCCAACTAATTATATTTTCATAAAAAATAAATATCTTTTATTGATAATAGAGATTGAATCCAAGACCTCGTTAAACTCCTTCAACCCATTGAATGCTTGTTTCGTGTTTTTGTTATTTCCTAAAATATGATTTTTTTTTTTTTGTTTCTATTTTTTTTTTGGCTTGTTTTCAAGATAACTTAGATGAAATAAAAATAAAAACAATTATCACGTTTTTATTTTTTTTTTTTTGGCAAAAACCGAAAACAAAAGCGTAAAAAAGCAAACAAAAATAACAAATAAATAGCCCTTTGTACTCCGGCCTCATGCCTCCCTCTATCTTTGTCACTGCACTTCGCCACTGTCCTACTCCCTTAAACTCCATTTTCTCTATCTACTCACTCATTCTCCACCCATGGAAAATCGATCACCACCACTACCCCCGTCAAACAACCATTGCCACCAAAATTAAACCCAAAACCCAATTCATGAAATGTACACAAGCAGAAGCCATGCACGGAGTTATGTTTCTTTAAAGAATTAGAAATGGTGATTCCAGTGCACTTGGTTGTAGTGGGTAATTTTGGTGTTTTTTCAGAATATATGCTTGTGGACACTTGCTTAATTAGTTGAGTTTGTCATGAAATGGGTTAAAGAACATGGTGGGTTTTGCTAGGGTAGTGGTGGTGGTGGTGGTTGGTTTTCATGGAGTTTGGCTTGCTATGGGCGGCGACGTCGACACAGTGAGGGTAAGGAGTTCTGTGGGTTAGGGTGGGGAAAGAAAGAGAAGACGGGTTTGCAAGTTGGGGTGGGGGGGGGGGCTGCCATAGCTAAAGTGGGGGAAGGGCAAAGGGCGGAGCTAGCAAATCGTTCCAGGGTAAGCGCAAATATTTTAACAAATTAAAATTTTTTTCCATACAATTAATAGAAATAAGATAATAATTTATATTTAATTATATCATGTTTAAGACTTAAAAGTTCATTAAATTCAATAGACTAAAAATTAATAAGCCTAGTATATATAAACGACAACAATAAAAAAAGATTAATTATATCTTTTTACAAAATAAAAACTAATTAAAATTACTTAGAATTAATTCGAGTGAGTTTTCATATGTGGAAACTATTGTATAACAATTTTATTATTCTTTATATACACAATCATGTTTTTATTTTGGTATTTATCACTCATCGATTATGTAGTTCAATACGTAATCTATAATGTCTATTGTAATTAATAAAATAAATGTCAAAATCACAGGTAAACTAGTTAATATGTATATCATGTCTTTTCTAGTAGTAAAAAGTATAAAATGATTCTAGTATAGCCAAAATTTATCTAAATAGGTACATAACATGTTCAAAATGTGTTAAAAAATTCATATTCATTTGATAGAAGTGTACATTAATTAATGGGTCAAAAAAATAGGGTGGGTATAATTAAAAATGTTAAAGTAATATTTGAAAAAAAAATTGAGAATAGATTCATCTGGATCCGTACTCAGTTCGAGTCTTTGGTTTAAGTGGTGGTGAGCCCACATTGTTTTTTTTTAAGTGGGCTTGGTAATTCTTTTATGTGGATAGTGGTATCTTTTATTTAGGTGGGCAATAATGATATATTATATAATATAATATATATATATATATATATACACACACATAGGTAATAAAAAAATTTGAGGGAGTACTTGCCCACCCTGGACCAAGCTTAGCTCCGCCACCCCCTAAGGGAGAGGTATCGTAAGTCACATGGGGAAGGAGGAGGAGGAGGAGGGAGGGAGGGAGGGAGGCAGACAGGAAAGAAGGGGAAGGGTTGTTTGTGTGGGTTTGGGTTTTTTTTTTCATTGGTCAATTTACTTTTTTTTTTTTTTATCTTTATTTAAGTATTACATATCAAGTTCATGGGCAATCCTAATTTTTGTAGTAAAACTTTTGTCATTGTGTTTTGCTTGTGAAAATAAGATTTCGATTTGAAACATTGAAATTTGGGTGTTTTGAATTTTTGTATTTCAATTATAGTTTATTGGTTGTGATCTTTGGTCATATCAAATTAGAATCAGAATTTCGAGTTCAGGATGACTATAACAAAATCCAAAAAAAAATAAAATAAATTATGGACATAACAATATCAATTTGTGAAAAATCAAGATAAATGCATTGTTTCGATAGAAGGGTTTGACAAAAGACATGTTAAAATCAAAATCAACACAAAAGCGAGATACAAAATTAAACGTGGTTCAACTTATACAACCTACATCTTTACTCTAAGTTTGCATGTTTAACAATTGACCCATTAACCGCTTAACTACTAATAGCACAAAACCACAATCAATACCTAAATAAACAACATAACTCAAATATTTGTATAATTTTGAGAAAATATTTAAATGTAAAAAAAAAATTCTAAAGTCGTAGACATTCTTTTGAAAGTGTGTTGAATTTTTTGATAATAAAATTTGACCAAAAAATATAAATAAAACTTAAGTTAATCACTAATAAAAAAATAAGTGATACCAATTGTACCAAAAAATACATTTAACAATATCAAGTGACATATTTAGCCCGCCCACCCTTCATTTGAAAAAAAAAGTTATACTTTTAAACCATTAAATTTATAACTTTGAAATAAGTCTTCCAATATCGAAATTTAAAGTTTTAAATTTTAGATAGTATAAATAATATATTATTTTATTTTCCATGTATTAAGCATATAAGTTTTAAAGGGTAGAGTAATGCAAATAATAGATAAGTGAGTAGGTGTCAACCTAATTGGGATGTATTCATTATATTGAATGTAGTTCATCCCTTAATTAAAAATAAAATTATTCATTATTTTATTTTTATATATTTTGATTCTATTTTTTTATTCAAAAATATAATTTACACAAATATTAAGTTACAAAAATATTCATTATTTTTAAATAAAGTCGTATATAAAAAAACTCGCTAACAAGCCCACCCTACAAACCCGCCCGCAGGTCTGCCCAATAGGCTTCTGGGTTGGGTTGCGAGTGGCCTATCCCTACCCGAAGTCTGGTCTGGCCCGCCTGATAACTCATTTGAGTAAGGGTTTGAATCTATACTACCCAGGCCCTGTCCGATCCATGGACACCCCTAAGTATTTACTATGTAATTGAATTTTTTAAGCATAAGAATTAAAAAAATAATAAATAAAAATTAAAAACAAGGGGCCAAAGCTAGACCTGCACCAAATAATTTGCAGATATTTGGTCATGGGTATGTTTTATGCAATTTAATTGGCTTTAAGTACCACAGCCAGACTTTATATTCCATGAAATCTTCTTTTTTCATCAAATTTTTGTCATTACGTACACATTTCAATTTTTTTTTTTTGTATTAACTAATTACCCATACCATAAATACTTTATCATTGTTAGTTTCAATATTTTCAAATAAAAAAAATCATAATTTGGGAATTATGTTAGCATTAAAATTATTTTTTATCATATCTATATAATAAAACACATAGGAGTCTGAAAATTTATCACCTATACATTTTTCCCCCTAAAAATATCACATCATCTAATTCTATCACATGTTCAATCATTTAATATTTGATTAATTTTAAATTTAACACAATTTTTATTTCTCACATTGTTCACACACAATAGTGTACACGTGTTGAAAAAATGATGTAATTAATTAATGATATATATTTTGAGAAAATTTTGATGCTATTTTTAAAAAAATAATAAGTAAAAATTAATTTTAAATGATGTAATGAAAGAAACAAAGAAATAAAAAATTGTTATTAAGTATAGTGAGATTAATTTTTTGAACGCTCGAATCTTATATTTTATCGTACCTTTAAGCACGAATTATGACTAGTCTATATATATAATAACATTTAAACAGTAACATGCACAACAAAACATAGTAACATCAAATAATAACAGGCTTAATAAAAAAATAATATCATCAAATAATAACATGCTCAATAAAAAACTTAATTAAAAATTTAATCATTACAATAGAATGACACTATATGTGAATACTAAAAACTATTGTCTTGCCCACAACAAAACAAGTACTCCCTGTATAGTGCCACTATATTACAATAATTAAAATTTTAATTAAATTTTTATTGAAAAAATAATTTTAATGCTAGCACAATTCCAAAGTTAAGAGTTATTAATACTAATACAATTCTCAATTTAGCAGTTATTAGTTTTTGCAAACAAATTCTGATTAAATATAACTATTGAAGATATTTTAGATAATGGAGACAAAATGAATTTATTTCTAAACAAGTTTTTGAGTGGACTTAAGTCCAAATAAGTCTACAAAAAAAAAAAAAAAGACTAGCCTTCAAAGGACCCAATAATTTGTGTTAAGCCCGGATCTGGTAATCTAGCCCATGGGCTAGATTTTGTATGCTGACCTGCGACCAGCACCCATCTAGTCTTGGGTACATCATCCGTTCTTGGATTCATAATATCCGTCTAATCTTGTTGGGCACATATAGCCCTCTGTACCAAACAAGTAATTGCAAGAACATTTCCCAAGGAGGAAAAAATAACACTGAGTTGCAAATCTTGACAAATACATTACGATTATCATTTCCTGAGCTTTTATGCACATTGTCTTGCTCATTTACCCGAAAATACGAATGAAGTAAGACGACTACACTTTCTTACTGTTTTCCTTTTTTTCCCCATTTGAAGATAACATAGTATATTGATCATGGCAATTTAACATTCATTCATTTGATAACTTGACTAAAACTAAATAACAAAGGAGCAAGGCTCTGTTTAAGATGCCAAAAAAGCTTGTCACTTGAATTACTTATGATGACCACTTGGTTAAGTTTCTACACAAAATAAGAAAACGAGCACATTATACAAGATGGAAGCAAGTGTATTAACATGTTTTATATGCCCAGCAGAAGCTATGACCAATTATAAAACTGACTCAAAAAGGGATTTAAGCTTCAAGAGCACAAACCACAGCAGGAGAACGAGGAAGGTATGCGGCCAGTTTTGCGGATATATTCTGCTTCATGCTCTGTTTTTGCAGCTTGGCGATTTCTCTTGGCCTCTGCTGCCACTCGTTTCTCTTCAGCCTTGTGCCTTGCAGCTGCTAGCTTGTTCATTAACTTATCATGCGCTCGACCCCTCATCCTTTCCACTTCTACCTGAAAGCCACAAATTAGTTTCAATTTCAAATTCAGTGCAGGTGTAAAATTACTTCACCCAAGATAAGTATTTTGGCCACATTCCAAGTTTGTTTTCTGCTAAGTAATAAATTTGTATTTTTATCCAAAGTAATAAATTCATTGACAGATAGTAAATAGTGACATATACATGGGGCAGCCACCAGCAATAAATAGCATGGCAAAACCAAGAAAAAAAATGAATGAGCTGCTCTCTAAATGCGGATAATAAAATTTCAACCAATATAAGAGGAGGGAAGAGGGGGGGGGGGGGGGACAAGAAGCACTTCCAGCCCTGTACTAATAACGATGACAAATCAGATCATGTTTATATGTTTGTCTCACATCGATTATACTAAGAAACTTAACTACTCTCTTGTACTAGAATAAACACCCTCATATATATGGTAAATTACACCAAAGCAATATACAATTGCTATTAATTTTCTATTTTCTTATTTCACATAGTATCTGAGTCTAGACTCGTGAATCCTTCTGGCCAAGAATAGTATGCTCTGTGGTTGTTTTGCGAAAGATTCTCCACATCAAAATTCTTGAGGCTCTTCTCCTTCCGGCTATCCTCTGACAACCTCTTCTGGTCATTCTCCTGCAACTTTCTAGTCGTCCTTCGACGATGTTTCGATCACCTCCCGACTATTCTCCGACGACGTTCCAGTCAACTACCAGTCACTTTTCTGGCCACTGGCTGTCATTTCGGCAAAGCTCCAACGAGGTTCCAACCTACCCAGCCAATTTTTCTTGTTCGTTCCAGTCATGCCCTCCATTTGCTCTAATTCGGTTAGCATTATCACTTTTCTGCTATGGCTTCTCTAAATGATGTTGTTCGCCCTATAGAGATTGTGTTGGAAATCACCAACTATAATGAGCCCAGCAGATGTCAGTTTTTTTGCTTGGTCGGAGATTATTCCGTTTTGTACAAAACAAAAACCAGCACAGGCTAATCAGGAAACTCCAGAGGCATTCGAAGAGCACCTTGAAGAATGGGAAGATACTCATTGTAAGATTCTCTTCTGGTTTATTAATACCTTTGTTCTTTTTATTTATAGTCTTCTTCCCAAGTTTCGAAATAACAAGCTTGCTTGGGATTTTCAATGAGGCTCTAGTGGTTTCAAAATCATCCCGAATATGCATCATAAAATGAATAAATTGACAACAATCTCGGTATCCCACAAAGAGCTTATTGGACTAATCATCAGGAAAGCTAAGTCTGCCTGAGAAATCTGATCTCAAACAATACTAACGTGAGTGTGAAACTCGGCAATAGACTAGCCAGGTTCCTGACACATCTGATAGAGCTTAGATTCTAGCTAACATTGAAAAGCACCATCACTAGAACAATTGTATCGGTTTGCCAAAAAAATCAAAGGCAAGCTTCGCATTCCAAAACTTGGGAAGAACACTCTGAATAGAAAGGACAGAGGTATTAATAAACCAAGAGAGAATCTTACAATGAATGTTTTCCCATTCCTCAAGGCGCTCATCGAACGTCCCTAGAGTTTACCCATTAGCTTGTGCAGGTTTTTGTTTTGTGCCAGTTACAAAATGTTATAATCTCCGACCAAGCAAAACCGACATATGTTGGGCCCAAGCATTATAATTGGTGTCATCCAACACAATCTCTATATGGCATTAGAGAAGCCATAGCAAAAAAGTGATAATGCTTATCGAATTAGAGCAAACGGAGGGCACAGCTGGACTGAGCATGAAAAACTGGCCAAGGGCAGGTTGGAATCTTGTTGGAAAATTTGCCAGAACAGCAATCGGTGGCCAGAAAAGTGATCAGCGTTGACTGGAAGGTCTTCTGAGGATGGTCGAGAGGCAATATATCGCCGGAGGATAGTCAGTAGGTGATCGAAACGTCACGGAAGGAAGACCAGAAAATCGCCGAAGAACAACTAAAAGAGATTGCCGAAGGACAGCCGAAAGGAGAAAAGCCTCAAGAGTTCTGATGTGGAGGATCCCTCAAGGGCGAACCACAGCATATTATCCATGACTAGAAGGATTCACGAGCCTAGGCTTTGATACCATGTGAAATAAGAGAATAGAAAATGAATAGTAATTGTGTATTGCTTTGGAGTAATTGACCATATACCTGAGGATGTTTATTTATAGTATAAGAGAGTAATGAAGTTTCTTAGTCTAACCAATTTGGGACAAATATATAAACATTAACACAGGTCAATGCAGCAATCTAGATCAATGGGGTATGTGAAGATACCAAAAAACCAAACAAAGGGGTCTACAATGCCAATTATAACAAAACAGTGGCGGAGCCAAGCAACTGGCATATAGAGAGTAGCAGAGAAACAACACCACCAGAGAAGAAACAAGCTACCAGAAAAAAACCATACACCCTCCCTTGTCCCTTGAGCCAAAACAACAAAGAAAACTCACCAAGAATGAGCTCTATCTGCAAATATTTTTAAGCAGTATGAAAGAGAACTAGGCAGATAATTAGATACACCATATGGAGGACGACAAACACTTTGAAGCAGCATAGAAAGTTTCTACGAAGTTCCTTCAATTAGCAAATATGAATCTTATGGTATCTTCAGTATATATAGGTAATGGATACAATTTGTGTTAGTGGGTATACAGTATGTCATGTAAAACTCGAACACATAGAATTTGACACGACATACCCATATAACTAGTATTGTAGGAAGAAAATATTACTCTTTTCATTTCTTGATCAAGTATTGAATTCTATTAGTAATAGAAGACTTGTTACTTAGTTTCGATGCCAAAAGATTAAGTGGATTTTTAGTTTATAAAGGGCATATGGGTGGTGGCTTGAGAGAAAGTAGTGTTAGTCTTGGATTTCTAAATCATGAATTATCTGTGTCAAACCAAACATGACAAGATTAATAAACAACTCAAGTTGTTGTTAGGAAATCTAACAAAAATAACTAAATGTGTCGCGTTAGTGTTGAACAATACTCGTCTACCGGTATGTACAACAAAGCTACGAAAAATGTGCATTTTCAAGCAATGCACAATAACTAGGTTCTATGGACCAAGACGTTGATGTAATCTTTCACCCCATTTTTGATGCTGTCACCATGTGCAATAAGTTCATTTTTGGACATTTGCACTTTTTAAAACTTTCTTCATTTAAATTAGTTTTGTTGACAAGCACGGTGACATGACAATAAGAGAACAATTGTTTGCATAGAAATTTCACTATCTACTTTCTTCAGATTTTTGAAAAGATTTGCCATCCGAGAACTTAGAAAAATGTACTTTTTCTATCTATATAACCTAACATTCTCAAAACAACAAATTCAGGTGTACATTTGTCTCTAACAAAAATGAGAGAGTGCCTAATGATATGATGAATAAGCATATAAAGAACTTTTTTCCAAACATCCACGCCAATCGGACAAAAAAATAGGCAGAGATCCACATAAGCGAGGAACACTCAATTTACAAGCAAGTGTGAACCATTTCATGCAATTTTAAAATCCTAGATTTATTCTTACATGAAAAGCAAACCTAATGATCTAGTTTGACTCAACATAAACACATAAAGTCCATGAAGATGTATAATTTTGTAATAGAAAAACATATAACTAAGATCGTTCAAGCATAAGGAGAATTATTAGCAATGATAAACAAAGGGAAATCACAGTTTACAATAGTACATAACAACAATATGAAAAGATGAAAAAACAAAACCCGAAGAATCAGGTTTTGCCAACCAGAAACATAAACATAGGAGTGAAAGCATGGTTCAAGGTCGCATAGTAGAGCACTGATGCACATAACACACAAAATCACGGAAGGGTATTACACCATATACATGAAATGTTATGTAGAAAAGTTAGATATGGACAGAGACTTAGGGCATATACAGTACTGTGAATAGTATTGGCTGATATGCTACATTTCGATGATGATGACTAAAGCAACTCAACTGAATCAACCAAGAAGTCCCCAAGTCAACCACGAGTAGACTGTGACACCTAGTTTACAAAGAATTTATATTATCCTCAAAACAGAAAGTAACACGTTGAATACAACTTAACTGAGTTGTATCGATATTGGACAATTCTTTAAACCATGCTTGGAGGTGGGAACCCCCTACCTCTGAGAATTTAAGAAGTCTCAAGTGTATTCAATTCAAAAGAAAGAAATTTTGACAAAGAAACTTGAGTAGAATCCAAACCAGAAGCGACTTCTCCAACTTTGAGCTTCCCAAGTACCATTCCTGTAAAATCTCCTTTTCCTAAATTAGTGGGTGTTATGGGTTAGTTCTTGGTTGGCTTCAAACGTGGATTTCCAAAAAGAACCAAGTCATGAACTGGTAGGATATATATTCATCAAGAGTGGTATGCTAAATGCGAGCAGGGTTGAGGACTTAGACCTCTTAGGTCATCCTAGAATGTGCTAGAACTAGAGTCACTTAGAATCCATGGGATCAGCCGCCGATCAAGAGGAGTCCAATTAGGATGAATATAGTGGACGGTATCTCAAAACAAAGTGAACCAAGTCATGCAGTAACTGGGGCAGCATCCATGGGTTGCCAAGTAGACATCTAATGGTGCTTGGGTGGCATGTAGTGTTTGGTCTGAACAACTAATCATAAAGCTCATACCTCTCTCGTCTGGACACTGATTTAGGTGATCCACTTATCATTCAGAACCAAGTCTATTTCATTAAATATTGTTTTCAACTCAAAACTTAAATTGAATTGCTTTATTTGGTTTTTTGACAAACCATTACATCTTCATAGTTATGAGCATTTAGACGTAACATATATGATTGAAAAGCTCTTAAAATATTCTTATTTTTTCACCTTCAATCTTGAAGAGATAGAGAGATTTTGTAGAAATCAACAAAACCCATATTGGTTAGGAGGATCTAAGGTGGATTCCACGGATCAAGAAGATTTCGTGGAGCTTGGTTTGTCACCTAGTGAAACTATTCCTCTAGAGTCGAGCTAGCGGTGAATTCCAGGGTCAACATTCAAGTTGAGAAAGCATCTTACCACAGACTTGGTTGAGATATAAGTCTTTAATTCTTGTAATCTAACTTTGAATATAGTGAATTAGGTTAGGTGGACTATGGTACTGTAGTTTACCCCGGAAGGGTTTCCACCTAAAAATTGTTTGTCTTGTGTTTGTGATTGTCTTTTCTTACTCTTCAAACACTCACAATTTTTACACTCGTCACATATGGATAATATGCTTGATTGATTGATTCTATATATATCTTCTTGTGGTTGTTGGATTGGCAATTAGGATTTGGAGGCTTAAGGTTGATGGATTATGCTTGATTTGTAATACACAAAATTTAACTTCATGCTACAAATTACGATGCCCATGTTTGATGGCACTAATTATCTTGTCTATTTTCTCTCTTCACTATTGTGTACTAAGAACAAAGGAAAGATGGATTATATTGACGTGTTTTCGTTAAACCAAAGAGTACAGATCAATCTTTGCTAACTGGGATATAGAGAACTTTGTCGTTATGTTATGGTTTCTTCAATCCAAACAACCCAAGATCAATCCATAGATGCTTGTTCTTCAGAAGAACAAAGGAGATGTGGGATATTGTTGTTCAAACTTATTCTCCAATTGGTAATGCCTCTCAGATTTATAGCTTGAGGTGCAGAATCCAAAAACACAAGGATAGAGATGATTTTAGCTACTTATTACAATGTTCAACAAGAACTATCATGGTAAAAGAATTTTGATTTGTCCAACACAACTCGTCCAAATCGTATCCAAATTGACACTTTTCATTATCATACCATTTTGCATTCCGTGCAGACACGAGTCTCAGTTGACTCTTTGTTAGCTCAGAGACGCCTCAGTCGACTCAATCAAGTCACTTGAGTCATTGCCATCAACTCGCAGTATAGCACGTAATACTGTTCTGCGCAAAATCATTATTTTCAGCTTTTTCTATCCATCATCTTTTTTATCTAATACCATTCTGCAACACTGCACCCGTGGATAGTGATCATATTTCTGCTTCAAATTCCAATGTCAAGGATAAGCTTGTCTATGATAATTGTGGCCAATCAAGACATGTTAAAACGAGTTGGTGAGAACTAAACAGTTGACTATGCGTGCTAAAGAGTATTGAACTGAAGGAGGGGCTAGGTATCATACTCGTCTTGCTCATTGATATTGACTTCTTTAGCTTCTACTTCAGACACTCCAAGTCTTTCTAAGGAGGAAATTGAATCCCTTTAATGTTACCAACTCGATTGGAGCCCATCACTACCACCACTGCTACTTTCATATTTGCTAATTTTGTAATCCATGCCAAGGGATATAATGTTTTTTCCTTGTCTAGTATTCCATCTAGGATCGTTTATGTAGGGGTGTCCGATCGGATTACAGGGTTGTCCACTTTGTTACATTTGTGTAATATTTGTTCAGGTAGAGATAAAGCAATGATACGACTAGATCTTTATCACAAATTTCTGGTAAAGGTTCCATTTCCATCTCTTTTTCAATGTCTGTGTCATTTGTCCTAACAAGAATCATGTCAAGCCGGAAATGCCAACAAAACCCTACAAAACACACAGATACTTGAGGAAATAGCTCGACACCTTATTGCAACATGTCACTATATATTGCTAGGAATGCCACGAAGTAAAATTTCATCAGGATCTTTTAAGGAGAAAAGGTGATAAGCCACTATTCCATTCGGTGAAGTTTTCAAGAAAACACAGGACTGCTCCTGTCGTAAGCCAATATTCCACGAATTGTTTGTTGATCTTGCCATAGGTAAATCATATAATACCATCCAGATAAATGAAGCTGCTCGTTTGATTCTCCAGGAACACCTATGGTCAGTGACGGCACAAACACAGACTCAACCAGTCAACTGTATTTCCCCACTTGAACATCCTCTTCCTATTTCAACTTCTAAGAACACTTATATGTGAACCCCCCCCCCCCCCCACAAAACCCAAAGGGGGAAGTTTAGGAGGGGTACCTTTCCAACCCACTAAAAGAATTTTATTACTAAGAATGGTTAAGCTTCTAAAGAATAAACTACATCAGAATGGCGCATAAAACATTGCCATTGTCCATCAGATTGTCAAATAATGCAAGGCAATGTAATTTATCAATAGAAAATCAAAATATATAAAATCTTTCATTCAACTCCTTATTCAAACCTTAGATGTGTTCTCACTGTCCGATGCACCAAAACTCACCAGCACGTGATTATGATTTGCAATTCATCACAATTCAGAAGTCCATACTCCATACCCATTCTTTCAAGGTGAGGTGAATTTTTCACAAATTTAACCCGGCCATATAATTTATCCAAATCATGTCCCATTAAATTTGAAGATCCAATCGCACTGACTTTCATGAAGTTTCCTGAAATCTATGCATGAATTTTATACAGCCACCAAATGAAAAACTACTTTTTCTGGTGTTATGCTGACAGGCATGGAAGAAACAAAAAAGAGTACCCTTTTTGTTATGTTAGGCCCTATTTATACACAGTAATAACATTAGAAACATACCATTTGTCATTTTTCACAATCTCATCGTTTTACATTCCATCACTAGTATTCATCATACATTATCCCTTCCCCCAAGGGCATCCCTTATGTTTCATCACTGATTTATATCAACCAATGCCATTTCATCTACATATGTACACATGTACATTCCAACAGCTTAAATGCCAGGTTAAACAGGTTTACAAGGATAATTTATTCCTCTAGCCGCTAAAAAATGCAGACCAAAGTGTGTTTTGCATCCCAAAACACCATGTAGGAAAATGTTTGATGAAGACTATCAGTAAAACTGTCCATAAAAGCTGCGTGCATGAAGAAGATGCATACTTTTCTAGCCTAATTTGGGTTGGCAAGTGTATGCTACAGAATTTTCGAAGTGAATAAAGAAATTCAATAGGCTACAGAAACCATGTAATAACAAAAAATACTTCACACCTCAATTTTCCTCATCTCAGCCTCAGTAATTGCTTTTTGGTGATTTTCCCATGCCTGTATCTTCATTTCCTCCCGCTTGAACCTGATAATGGGTCATCATCAGTTCTTTTTCGGGGAAAGATAGCCCAGCCTAGCTAGGTCATGCATGCACTATCTAAATTACCTACCCTTGTCAACCAAGTTCCAGTAACGTTATGTCCCAAAAAAACACACACACACACATGATGTCACTTGCTTAAGAGTTGATGGAGCTACAACATGAGGTGGTGAGGGGTGAGGTGAGGCCCTTAAAAACAGCCAAATGGAGAAGTTTGATTTATGTAGCTAGCCCTTAAAGTAGTTGCTAGCAAAGGCATTATTGAGCAACTGAATCAATATGGAACGATGTAGGAAAGTAATCTTTTGAGTGACTTAACCTGGCCAGATACTTGGCTTTCTCCGCTTCCTCCCAAGCTGCAGCACGCGTCTCAATGACACTTTTAGCGGGTTCTTCTGCTTTTACAGCAGTCAACGAACTAGATGCATCCTTGTTCTCCTCTTCTTTGCTGGCCCATGCAGCAATATTCATCTTACCCAGCTGAGTCCCAAGAACCATTATTTCTTTTCTAGTTTTCATCAGTATTTCTTTTTCAGGTAGCTCTTTCTGGTCAGAACCCAAACGGACATTTGGAGGATCACTGGGAGAAGAAGCTGGTGCAGCTCTTCCTGGAGTTGATGGCCGAGAAGAATTTGGGCTGCGCATTGGTGTTGTTGATCTTACAGGTGTTCCAGTCCTGGAAGGTTCTTGGCTAGCAATAGGAGTCATTTCGGTACCCATATCTCTCATTGATACAGATCTAGCTGTGGAAGGTGGTGGGATGAATGTTGTTGCACTATGGATAGAAACAGAGGAATCATGACGGCTCAGATTAACTGCAAAAAGCACACAATTTATGCAACATCTCAGTTCCAAAAGTATGTCCTATGTCAAGAAAGAATTGTGCAAAAGTTAATTGTGACCAAAGATGCAATGCATCATGCACATTTAGTTCAGTAACGATGCCCAAAAAGTGCGTTTATATATATATATAATGCAAACATTAAAAAGTGTGCAGGTGCCCTCCACAATCATTATTAGCATAGCAAACCACAGTATTCTCTTTCTAGGAATGTATAATTTTCAAATTTTTTTTGTAGTTTCAACAATATCAACTGCAATTAATGTCACATAACGGTAAATTGGATCTGATTGCACCAAAACAGAGAAGGAAGTCCGCAAATCAGTTGAGTAGAAAATGGCCCACGGAGTGTTTATGACTTTTTGCTCGACCAATTACAGTTAGTGCTGCATTCCCTAGATTGCAGCAATAATGCACCTTAAACCAAAAATGATCAAGAATGAGGTACACATTCCCAAAATACCTAAGCGTAGGACTTCTCAGTGAACCTGCACATATACATGTCAAAAGTTTCATAGTACGACAGCATCAGGTATAGAGGTTCATTATAATAATACCCAATCAATTGTCAGTTTTGTCATCAGAAATTTCCTTGTATATTAATTTGTTCATTTATTTGCTAATTTGTTTTCTTTTGGGTAATAGTTGTGTCGTTACTGTACAAAAAATCGCCTTACAGTCTAGATAAGAACTAGACTTACGAAGTTCCAGTTGGCTTCCTTTTACGAAGGCAAAGGCACATGATTACTCAAGTTATGAGAATGAAATTGTGTAACATAAAATTTAAGAGTCACAATATGTTACACAATCAATTTTGCAATCTATAGATGAGGAATGCTAATATTCTGGGACAAATGCTGAAAGATGATCATGGGAACTCAATACAGTACTGCATTACTACAATATAAATGCAGAGCTGGAGAGTTAAGAACAATTTAATAAAGGATAAAGTGTTCAGTAAAACAAACGAAAGTCATTACAACAACAATAGCAATGGCAGCACCAACAACCATATGGATTAGCATAGATCATACTGGCGGATTTTCTAATGCAGTATTTCAAGCATAACCACCGGCTTACCACAGGAATCAGCAATTGGGTATGAGTCAGCCTCCCAGCTAACAAACTTTTGCCCCTCGTTTCCCTTCTTAGCTTGGCTGGAATCAATCTGCTTGGTATCTGGCTCTTCATAAGGAACCAATTTTTGATCCAGGACTTCAACCACAACCTTCATGGGCGGCTGTCGGCTTCCATGCCAAAAATTACTACTCTTCCTTGGTCCAACCCCATGACCACCGTGCCCATTTTTCGGCAGGTTATTTGTCGGGCTTGCTATCCACTTTTGTGCGTCATCCCATTTTGATGGGGCAGGCTTCGAGAATGGAGCAACAGGCACCCTTTGTGGGGCGCGCGCCGCCTTCTGAAACTCAAACATCGATGATGATATACTCATACTATCACTGCCACTGCCACTCTCATAATCTGATGAACTTTCATCTTGAGATCTAATTCTTGGATTGACTAAAGAGTGATCTTTCAGTCTATGGTCTCTAATCATCTCTGAGGCCAATGAATCACCTCTAGTGGAAGTCGTGCATTCGGGATGTACACTCACAACATCTACATCTTTGCAATTCTCAGAAGGGCTACCACCTGATTCATTATATCAACATCTTCAGTAATACATTCTGGGTGTACTGCTTTTAACTATGCTGACACATATTGGCCACTTAAAGGCCTTAAATTCAACAAAATCAAAGGAGGAAATAATTTTGGCTCTGTTTAGTTCAACAGGAAATATGATAAACTTTTCGTGAGAGAGATTTATATCCCTTGAATAGCTATCCTATTTCCTGAACCCCGGTGGCTGATGGGCAATAAGTTCCCCCAAAACAAACAAGGCCCGAACAGCTTAGCCTCAACTTTGCCACTAATCAAACTTAGAAAAAAGCAATTAAAGTTTATATTTCTTTTTGGTCAAAAAGTATTTCTGAGGACCCACAAAGATTCAGAGCCAAGGCGGCTAGTCTCTTTTTTTCTTTTCATTTTCTCAGCAACCAAACGGAAAACAAGATACTTATTTCCCGGAAAGACATTTCCATCAACCATATTCCGCCCCAAATAAAAAAAAATCAAAAAGCTACACAAGTTTTTAAAGGATCATTAGCCCTCAACTCCGCATTTACATGTTCGAATCTACCACCTAACAGTTACTAGCCGACAATTTCACCAAACCCAGCCGCCGGTCATTACAATGTATGTATGCATACATTCACAAATGTATTGTATTGAAAAAAAAATGAAATACCATAGTCATAGATCTCAGAAACTTGAGATCTCAAGGAGAATGTGGACTCGAGCTCTTCTTCTTCTTCTTCTTCTTGTTGATTTCTCTTTTTCTCAACTCGCAATATCATATTCCTTAATTTCGCAGGTGACAACCCAGCTCCTCCATTTCCCTGTAACGATAAGTAAAACAATTTCCACAAGAAATGAAATCGCACTCAATTGAACACTCGGGAGATTAGGAGAGAGAAAGCGATAGCTCGGGAGTGAAAACGAAATGTCTTTTCCCCCAGAAACTCAAAATGCATTGGGAGAAGAGAAAGTACAACAAAGAAAGCGAGAACGTTAAGCCACGCTTTGTTTTCCCTCACCTGCTGAGCTTTCTTTTCGATCCTTTCGTAATCCATTTTCGTTCTTCACACACAATCTGTGTCTATCACATTAGCATTGCCTCCGTCTCTCTCTCTCTCTCTCTCTCTCTCTCTCTCTCTCTCAGACAGCTCTGTCCACAGAGTGATTACTTCTCCCAAACCCCAAGTGGTCTTCTTCACTTTTCAGATTTAACCCAAAAAGGTACGATAAAACCATCAATCATGTTGCAAATAACGATAGAAGCATAAGTAAAATGAATCTAGTGATGATAAATCTAAATAGCAAAAAAAAAATGAGTCCAATTAGTATTAAATTTGACATGACAAATTTATAAATTAAAAGACTTGAAAATTATAAAGAAGTATAATCAGATTTTTTGAGATTTGTCACTTAATCGGTTAGACTTTTGATATTTAAAATATTATACACATACTCCTGAAATTTGTACACGCATAACACTTAAACTCCTATTATAAATATATTCATTAATAAATTACACTTAAACTCCCCTAAAATTTGTGGGTATATAATACTTAGACATTTTAAATTTAAAATATTATATTTAAACAAAAATTATTTCAATCAAATATAAAATATCAAATATTTTAAATTTTATAACCAAAATTCATGTTCTATTATATCATTTATTGAAATAAAATTAAAAACAAAATTTTAATTTTTTTATAAAAAAATTGTACTTATTATATAATTATATTATCTATTAGAATAAAACTAAAAAAATCAAACAAGGGGTCTAAGTCATTCATAATAAAATATAAATTTTACATCTAAAATTCATGTTCTATTATGTCATTTATTGAAATAAAATCAAAAATAAAAATTTATTTTTTTAAAAAAAAACATAGTTAGTATATATTTATACCTTCTATTAGAACAAAATTAAAAAATTAAATAAGAAATCAAATTATAATAAATATAAATATTTTTTAAATTTAATTGGGATAATTTGATATTTTAATTTGGTCGTTTAAACAACTAAATTAAATTCTAATAGATGATATAATTGTATACTAATTACAATTTTTTTAAAAAAAATTGAATTTTTATTTTTAATTTTATTTTAATAAATGATAAAATAGAACATGAATTTTTGTTATAAAATTTAAAATATTTGACATTTTATATTTGATTGGAGTATTTTTTATCTAAATATAATATTTTAAACTTAAAGATCTAAATATTATATACTTACAAACTTTAGGGGAGTCTAAGTATAATTTATTAACGGATATATTTATAACAGTGATCTAAGTGTTATACGCGTATAAATCTCAGGGAATCTGTGTGTAATATTTCAAATGTCAGGTTTTTGAGTGATTAAGTGACAATTTTTAGGGATATGAATATAATTCTTCCTAAAAATTAAAATTTCTTTTAAAAAATATTATCAGATACAAGTTAAGCATAATTTCTTTTTTAAAAGAAATGGTAGAATTTGTTTTGAAAGGAGTAAAGATATTATGAAATCACGAGTGGTCTCCTCCCACATAGCAATGTTAACAATAAAACTAACATTTCTAATTACCTGGTGTGCTACCCTATTATTGGTTCAAAGTCTTCCCCGGCATGAGGTCATTTCAATGATTTTTCGTTTAGTAAGAAGACTGAAAAGTAGAAAGGAAATATTTTTTATCCTTCAAAAGATGAAAAATATGAATGATACATTTTTATTTTTTTGTGTTTGGTTGGATGGACGAAAAATAAAATGACTAATTTTTTTTTTAATTTTTTTTTGTGCTGACTAAGAATAAGGATGACAATCGAGTTGTGTCGTGTCAGATTTATATTAAGTCATAAAATTATGAGTTTTTTATATTTTTTATTCGCATGTCAGGTCATTTTTAAGTTTATGTCAATTTATAATTAAGTTCGTGTCATCGTATTGACGCAAAAATTTTCACACTTACTTAAGATAAAAAAATATTTTTTTAATTAAAATTTTAATTTATTTTTTTATTTTAAATTTATTTTTATTTTTTAATATATATATATATATATATATATATATATGTTATCATTGTATTTTTATATGAAATTAATGTATATATAATATATAAACAAATAAGATACATTTCACCATAAATAATTAACTTTTCATCTATTTTCCTTCCAATTTTAGAGGGATTGATTTTGGTGAGTTGGAAGAAAAATTAATCCATCAATTTTTCCATCCTTCCTATTTTCCTTCCTTACCAAACATGATATTTTATTTATCTCTCAAATTTTTCATTCTTTCAACTTTCTATCCTTCCATTTTTCATCATACCAAACGAAGCATAAAGACACAACTAATTATTAATCATATTAGCTACTCTAGAATAGGTTTTTCAATGGATCATATTTGAATTGGATTTTGTTTGATTCGAATCCAAATATAAAAAATTCGATCCAAATTGGATTCATTTTTCCAAATTTTTTTATTTTTATGGTCAATATCTAAACCCTTAATTGTCCAATTTGATCCAAATAGCTTACTTTAACTAAAATTTAATAAATTACATATAAATTTCTTCCAATAATTACTTAATTTTTTAATATTTATATAGAAATATATACATTCTTCAAATTAATTCATATCCGATTAATCATATTCGAATTAAAATTTGATCCATTAATAGACCTACTCTAGAATGACGAACTTAATATGATAGATAAGAATTAATTAGCACTCTAAATTAAGACTAAATTATCCTTAGTGAGACTCAATCTTATATAACAAAGAGTAACTTAATTACATAGACAAACTCATTCTTTAGTTGACTAAAATATACTTTACTTCATAAAAAAAATTGAACCAGTTGGATTTTGGAAGCAAATTTCAGCCATTTGGATTAGGTAAAGAAGTCATAAGTTAGAAATACGTTGAGATTTCCTTAAATAATGGCATCCAATGCCTAATGCAAGAAGAGTTCTATTTAGGTACCGTCTTTTATTCCAATGGAATGTGAAGCAGTCAAAGTCAAAGACTCAAAGTGAGACATGTTACCCCCCCACGCTTCTTGTGTAGTTCTGAATCTCTCGACCAAAAACACTACTGCCAAATGATGATAAAATGCCACGTAACTGTTCTAGTCAATCTTGTGACGTGACATGGTATAATAGGCAGAAGGCTGGGGTCCACCATTAACATTAAAAGCTCTGATTGATGGTAAATGACTCAAAATCGAACAAATAATTTTACTACTATACCTCTAAGTTTTATAATTTTAATAAGTGTTTTTATAATTTTTATATGTCATTTTATAATTAAAAAATTCATTATTTTTGTGGATGATTTATCAATTTTATAAATTTTTTACCACTGGTGTGGATATTTTTATTACATTTGTAGTAACTGTTTTTGCTATTTTTTTAGTACAAAAAAATTTATTATATTTGTGGATAATTTTATTATAGTATCACTATTATATTTGTGAATTTTTATCACTGTTATAGTAATTATTTTTATTATTTTTTGAAATATCACAATAATAATAATAAAAACTCATAAATATGATAAATAGAAATATAATATTATTTTTTTTCCGGGTATGCTAATCAACTCCACGCCTAAAACAATGTAGGAAAAGTAGTAATCAGATTGCGGGGTTACTTTCAGAGTAGTAAATGCGAAATAAAAATCATGCAAATATTTACAATAATAATGCTAGATATGACTTACCCCAAAAAAGAAACGAACTTCTATATGGTATTGTCAGCGGTATTGAAATCAAAAAATTATAATTTTTAAAAATTAGTTACAATTTTAAAGAGTATGATTAATTATGAAATGTTAAGATCGATATCGTGTTTTTCATGATTGATCATGGATGTCTGTTATTGATCATGACCTCCTTTGACTAGTTTTAATTTCTCCTTTTAAAATTGCAATTTATCATATAAAGTAGTAACTGATAATATTGGTACCAAATGATGGGACACTTTGGTGAACCCACAGGGAGTTGACACCTATCCTCGGCCCTGACCCCGACCCCGAGAGCATTCCCCAACACTGTAATGAAAACACGTGTCTTCGGCACCAAGAACACTCCAACAATCTGATGGAGACACGTGTCCTCGACATCGAGGACACTCGAACATTCTAGTGGCGACACGTGTTCTCGGCACCGAGGACATTCCATGATTCTAAGGACACGTATCCTCAGCGCCACCAGTTTCTGAAGACTATTTTCGGACACGTCACCTTGGCTCCAAGGTGGATTATTGGCGGTTGCAGCCCACCTACCTCAAAGTAAACGGAATCATTGACTTGTTTTCCCAACAGAGTGAGGATGACAGAAAGGACAGGACCACCAACCAATGGGGATTGGACATATGGCGTGATGTGCAGAATTGGGGGCAAATTGACATAAATGCCCCTGCCGACACACAGTCATCCCAAAAGAGCATTTACAGGAAGATGAGACGTGTTTGTAGTCCAAGGGACCTCGGAGGCCTGAGCATTTAATACCGGAACCTCCTCCATGCAAAATATGAGGTGTTTTGCCCAATGACTGAACACTAAACACTGCCTTCTAAATGGACCAATGGGGAGCCTCTTCTTGACATGACCCACCTATCAGTAATGATGACATCCGTGAAGGTATAAATAGTTGCAAAAAAACTAGAGACAAAGGTACCTAATCTGACTCTAAAATATACACAATATTTTCCTTATTCCCTCTCTCAAAAATTGACTTGACCGTCGGAAGGGATACGCCAAAAAACACTCTGGCGCCCTCCCTTTTGTTTTAGTGCCAAGAAGTGCCTTCAGCTCGCTAGAATCGATCAGAAAATTGGAAAAGCAATTCATCACCACTCTTTAGGCCTTCTTTGGCCTCCCTTTGCTACGAGATTGTCGACTTTCGAGGTAAATACTAGTTCATCAAAGGAAAGAGCTGTCTTTTTATTTATTGTGCAAAAATTACAGCGCACAGTTTGGCGTCGTCTGTGGGAAACGACCAAACTTTCCCAAGAACAATGACCATGGTGAATACTCATCAAAAGGGAAATGATCATCAACAAAGGAACGTGGATTTACTGGCTCCTTCCGTATCAAGAACAGAGGATCGTGTTGAAAGTGTCAACAAGGAATTCTCCGT